TCGATTCATTACTACTCTATAAATTAAAACCCTAAAGGAATATTTACGATTACTCACAATTACCGCTATCCAATTTGTCCTAAGTCAGGCCGCTAAATTAACAGTTTGTCTTATTGAGCTAAGTTTGTACACATTTAATTAATTCTTAAATGCGTGAGAAGCAATTGCTAATTGGAGAATGTCTATAATAAGAACTGGTCTCTATAATTATAATACAACGATTTGATCGAAAATAATGACCTTAATCATTAGCGTATATTGAAGCGTTTTATTTGATGGACACATAGCAATTATTATGATATATAGATCAATTCAGTTAACTGCAGTTTCATCCGCATTTCTGGTCATTGCTAAGATCCTAAAAATATTTAATTTCCATTCTGTCTAGTACTATCGGATATTAGAGCCATTAAATAAATTATCATAATTAATTTATGACAAAGTATCACTGACTCCAGTGCGCTTATATCGTATTGAATTTTGATAATAACAGAAAATCTCTTGACAACATTACATTAAACTGATACTCACACAGCAACTCATATTCACACACACTTATACACACCCTCATACATACACCCACACATCCAGGAACACACACACATACACACATCGCGCTGATATTCTTACAATCCATGCTCCTATATCTAAGTTATAATCATGTTATTACTAAAAACTGTAACAGTAAAGTAGTCCAACAAGTCCAAGATTGACAATATTGTCAATAGTGGCTCTAGCAGAAAACTGATGTCCAAAACACAGGTCTGTACCTAGTTTGGATGTCAGGGTTCAAAAATTATGTACCCACAAGAAAATTGTAACTTTAATGATAATGTACTTCTGCAATTCTTTCTTGCGAAATAAATGATTATTATTATTATTATATAAACTGTTTTCTTTATATCTTGTTTTCCACGTTTAAATGGAACCGAACTACTTAAGGTGCCTCAGAGAGCACATTCTACAGAACTTCCATATCCTCTAGTAGTCTTGGTTGTCGAGGCCTGAAAGCAGTCGCTCCGAGTAAAAAATCGAAGTTCTGCCGTATCACAGTAGACTTAAAGCCGACCCCAATCTAGTTTGGGAAAAAGGAGGAAGGTATGGAACCGAACGGGCAGTACAGCAACAAATATAAAAAGAACACAACTGAATTGAGAATCATCACCATCCTTTTTTCTTAAGTCGTTAAAAAAAAAGTAAACTATTTTCCATTTACTTTTATAATTAACTTATCAAACAGAAACATTATTAAAAAAACGCTCTAATATTTTCTCGTCGTTGAAATTTCACATATAATTTCTGAATTACTGCAAGTTCTGTTATAATAAATGTACGTTACTATTTTAGATATTATCAGATATTACCTCAATGCAGACCTAATAATGCAGTTTATATTATTTCACATAGCAAAAACAAAGTGTGAAACTGATTTTCATACTGAAATGGGCACACTCCTTTGAGGTACGAGTATATCATTAAAAAAGAGATTGGTTTGTATTTTCCTAGGGAATTTCAATGTTTTCATTTATGTCATATATATGACAAATTATTGCGAAGGAGTACTACAAACCTTGCAACGTTCAACGTCTGACAAGCTCTTTGTGATGTCGCCGTGGTCTTGCAATTTCTGTGTTATTTCTAATAAAGGCGCGGCTTGAGCTGTAGGCCACTTAAAAGTCACTCTGTCAACACGAACTGGTGTGAATCCAATCTTATACTTACAAACGCGAGCGCTATATAGTCACTACAGTAACACAAATAATAGGGTATCATGAAATTGCCGATTTGTACTGAAAAATTGAATTTTTTTTTTTTAAGATTTAAGATATTTGATTAACAATCTTATATATAAATTATCTATACATTTCTGCCATCTAAACAGAAGTTCATTTATGCCTTTACAATAGAACCCTGGGGATTTAAACTCGACAAACTGTGTGAAAGCATTTTTTACTGCCTCCCGAGAAGAAATTTTTATCACGTAGAAAATTGACCAAATAACGAAAAAAATGGTAGTCCGTTGAAGCAAGGTCTGGCGAGGACGGAGGATGACGTATGGTTTCTAACTGCGGCTCCTGTAGAGTTACAACGGTTTCTCGTGCAGTGTGAGGTATTGCGTTATCATAGAGCAATAATGGTGAGCATCGATTCACGAGTCGCGGCTGTTTCACTGCTAGTTTCGCCATCATTTGAAGTTCGGCACAGTAAACATCTGCTGTTATTGCCTTATCAGACCTGAGAAAGCTATAATGAATAACAAGATGAAGAGACCACCAAACAGTTACCATTACATTTTTTTTGGTAAGCTTTGCTTTATGACACAATTGCGGCGTTTGACCTAGGGTCAGCCTTTGCATTTTTCGCTAACGGTTTTCGTAAACATTCCACTTTTTGTCACATGTCACAATTCGATCCAATATTCCTTCATTTCTGTACCGATTTAACAAAGCAACACAAGTTTCAACATGCATTTCTTGTTGCAGATGTTTTCCTATGAATTTATTTATAAAACAGCCTGTGAGAATACTGGCCTTTTAAGCTGACCTTTTTTTAAATTCACTGCGTAGTTAGTGCCTCGAATACGGTTCAATACATATTTTGAGTCTATAATTAATTTAACAATATTAACTACTACATGTAGATAGGGCTGTATATCGTACATCACTAGATTTCTAAGAAGGTAAGACTCAAATAATTTTTTTAAGTATTTCTAACCCCAATTTGCTAGTAGAACACATTTTAAAAACTATGAAAGTGATTTCAGTACGTGACTAATACATAAAAAGTGATGATACCTACATTCCAAAGGCATGCTACGGCGATTGTATAAGATGTAGAATGCACTCGCAATTAATTTGGTTGCATTTAATGAAAAACTCTTAGACGAAATTTTCGGTCTGGTCATCCTTAACTAGACGTATGTAGTTGTTACTCAATCTATGCCTTCATATTCATACTTAGTATAGTCTTTAGTAGGCTTGTAGTAGGCCGAAACCTCCTTTCTAAAGAGAGGCCTATGTCCAGCAGTTTACTATTAAAGGCTGTTGATGTGATGTGATGATAGTCTTTCTAATATTCTTTTTAATAGGTACCATAAACTATACGTTACATTCATAGAAGGTATTACTCAAAAGAATATTTAAGAGTAACAATACATATTATATTTTGGTTTAGGAATGCAACCCAGACAATTGATGTCATAGTTAAATCTCCACTGTCAGACAGGGACAATTCTAAGTATCTTCCCAGGACACTGCAAGAGGGAAAGAGACAGCATACAGTGCAATGTTCATTAGAGAGGGTCAATGTAGGCTAGGGGGTGTAATTTCCCCCAGTCCTCCTCAGGCGATCTTGTGGTCGTCTTTTTAATTTGCTTTTGGATTTCAGGGATGGCTACATTTAGAATATCCATGCGTAAATAAAAGAGATATTTTTTCAATTGTATATTAAACCGTACGAATAAACACATATAAAGGTTTGAATTTAGAACGAAAAGTATAAATTCTGTTGTAGACAGTTGATGTGTGAGTGTAAAGTGTTATTAATAAGTTGGGATAAGCTGACTAATTAATAATACTTAAAACACTTATTAATGTAAACGTGAGTTTGTTTGTTTCTTAACGTTTACAGTTTATTCGGTTTTTACGTAATGTTGCAGAAAAGGACCTAGAGGGTATCCTAAAGAGGAGTTTTTTTTGGGCATTACGCGAGTAAAGCTCTGATCAGTAGCACGTAATTTATTCGAGCCCCTGAAGACTTTTACTCTGAACCTCCCGGGTCCATCATCAGATCAGTTCTAAGATACCAAATAATAGTATTGTCATCCAAATTAGACACATACGAGTACTCACACGACAATATAAACCCTATTTAGGTAAATATTAAAGTTTTTTTTTTAAGATTGACTTAAATAATACAAGTACAAGTAAAGTGAATTTGAAACACAACGCAATATTTTTTTGGAAGAGTATTTTCTTGGGAATGAAATTAATCTTTGAAACAGGTTGTTTGGTTAAGAAGTTAATCCGTGAACACGTAACAAAACTCTTAGCATTTATAAAATTGTTCGGAACTAGTTGGGATTACAAAATAATATGAAAAAATCAGTAACATACGAGTACAATTCACTGAAGAACAAAAGTGCTATAACAGCCTGTAAGCAACACCACTGCACTTACGAAAAAGTCATAATGATCATATCATTACTAAAACCTCGTTTCTAAGGCTCTCCTTTGGTTTTGGCCAACTTTACCAAGCTCTCTAGACGGGTAGGTATAGGGTATGTTAAGTTGTTCTTCTCTTTGCAAAGCTGTTGTCCTACATAGTTTGATCTCTTAGTCGGCTCTTAAGATACCCACGAGATGAATAGCTGTGATGACACTCCATATTCTTAACCCGTCACCACACGGACAAAACGAATTCGTCACCCTATGAAAAAGTACTTACTCAAATCTGCTAATGAGTAGAATTGACTTAACGAAAAAACTTGAATAACTAACCTTAAGGAACGGCCATCCAATCTGGGATTTGGGCAAACTTTATTCACACCAACAACTGTTCAGTAGAACTATAAACTCATAATACTGACCATTTTAGCTCATATTCACATCTAAGATAAAGGACGTGGCCTATACAATTTTCATGTAAAATTTCTTGAAAAAAACTGAACTCATTAAGCCATAAAAATATAAAAAAGGTAGACTAGCATTTTATACACAATATCTTGGAAAAAAACACATCTGCATGCTAAAGGTCATCTTCAAAAGATGAGGACAATTTCTCTCAAAATTTCTCTCTCGTAACAGCCCTATGATCTCAAGACATCGCTGGGAGGCGCGGCGTCTTATCAACGAATTAATTCTAGACTAACGAAGACCGGGGGCGGCTCCGCGATTAACACAACCACCCCTATTTATAGAGCTAGAAACCTTTAGGTAAGGCAAGGTATTTTAACAGTTGCTTAATTATAACTTTTGATTTACCTTTACAACTGCTTAAATATGAGGCTTCGTGCATTTGATATAAAGCGTCGTTATAGTCAGACAGATAAAGGAACAACGAAGAGATCTTTTAAGGGTAAATCTTAAAAATCACATAGAATAACACTAATGGAAAGTTTTTTTAGATGTAAACAAAATAATACCTATTCCATTGTTACCACTTAAGTGTCTCACGTCAACTCAACAGTTTACGAATAGACGTTAAGTGTTGTTCAATAAAATGTTTTAGTGGCGAAATAATTTATTGCGTAATATTGTTATAGGTGGGATACATAGGGCCTTAACAGACTTAATGGCGTTATTTGACGTTAATGGTTTCTTAAGTCCGTTATGATTCGATAGTTACATGGCAGATCAAATCAACATTTTTAATAGATGAATAAATCAAACCAGTCTATATCAGTATAACTCATTCTAGTGCTCACTTCATTGATGGGTCGGGCTTTCGGTAAAAGTGACCCCGACTTCTTCGTGTTACTCAGTCTCAGTGACTCCTATCTGAGATTTGAGTTATGCCTAACATCCTAGTATCTTCTGTTTTCTTTACTTCGATTTCCGGTTAGAAGATGATAATATTGACAAGGAAAATTGGTGATAGAAAGTCATAAATTATCCAAAATCGTTTCTATAATTGCACATAGCATTGATCCCAAATAAAACTGAGAAGAGAGCAGCAGATGATGATGTTAATGATGCCGGCGCTCAAACAACACTTGGAAACATCATTATGGCCTCTTTGAATAACGTGCTCAGAGAAAAAGTTAAATGGATTTGGTTGAATGAAGACAATGAAAGTTTTAAGACAATGTCTGTGAGATCTTGGGAATATGAAATTTAGAATATTATGATTCGATATCTGTTAAACTTATACTTACTGAAAGAAGCCAACTGCACTCAGTTTTAGTAAAGTTGGATTGTATGTACTTGTCTCTACAATTTATTATATTGTGAGTTATAACCTAGCATCGGTCATAAATTTTAGAATCACGACTAATAATATAGGTTATGTAAACCCTGATTATATTTATTTTAATTATTACTACGTCAATCAATGCACACTGCTTTCTTTGTTACACTGAAATTGCTGGATAGAATGTGCCGCTACGAATTGGCAAATATTTTAAATATTTTCTAGTTAAAAAAAACAAAACAATTTTAGTATGTTTTATAGACGCATTATCAAAAACATTTTAAGAGCTGTCGTGTCTATCTTATTCTTAGGGCTATACCCCAAGGTCCGAGCGGGTGGCATATTAAGACGAAGTTGGAAGTAAAAAAAGGCGAAAAAGAGTTTTATATTCTCTCTCGAATGGGAAGAAATAGGAAAACCTTTCTCATTTAGCTCACCAGTGCAAGCTGGGGAGCCGTGCTGAACACACTGCCATTTTTTAAATAATTTAAAGTTAATTTAAATCACATCACATGTTCATTCAATAAATTGGAACTTCTTCATTAACACGTGAATTTCGAAGCACTGTTTGGGGTGACTTTGACCTTGGATTGGATTGAAACGGGAGCGAAGCAGAACAGTTGTGAGGGTTTTACGTAGTGATTCTGAGTGATTGTGCATAATACGCAGTTTGATGTGATATTCTTATCTTTACGGTGTATACCTAAGCAGTATCTGTCCAAATAAGAAGAGAATTGGCAACTGTCCAAAGAAAAAGATACACTCTAGTTCTTAAAGAATTTGACGAAATTGAAGGTAATGACTAATGTCCGAAAAACAGACGACAATGCAGTCATAGACGCTTTCCTCAGCTTCATGATTGAAAATGACTTTACCGGTGTAAAAAGAATATGGAATAATATGTAAGTAGCTACAGTAAATCAGTTTTTAGAATGTTTTTTGATAATTTGTCTAAATACTATCATGGATCGTGTCTATTACCCCACTGGGTAATATTGACAGCTCAAAAGTGGCTATACAAATTCAATGAAATGAAATTAAGTGAACACAAATAGGTACATGCTTTTTATTATGATTTTACTGAATTTTGTGTATCTGCGAGTAATGTACTCATTTATTGTAATTCTTTAAAAGTATCAGGACAGCCACCACGCTCGGAGGGAAATTTACAAGTTTTTAATAACTAGGGCCTCTGGTCTAATGGCCCTCTACCGGGTACTTTTGGAATTCAAGAGAGGGAAACAAAGGCGATGACTCACAGATTCCCCAATATGCGGTTCCCCAATATCCCCTTGGGCGGTTGGAGATCACTACAGGCATAAAATGGATTGACTTCATTTCGCTTAATATTTGATACCACAGATAGTTGCTATTATGTACGAGTATGATCTACTACTCTAGTCTAATTGTAAGACAATTTCAAATAATTTTATTTGTTAAGAAATAAGATATTTTGAGTTGGAGTTTGTGCAATGACTCAATAGACGGAAGTTAACGATAGAAAAATATTATATAAATGTATTCTTTTCTTTTTTCTTTCTGTTTTTCTTTTTTTATAGACAACTCCCGCATTAAGAATAAATTCCTGTGTCGCGGGGACTTTACAAACATACGTGAAATGGACACAAAGAACACCCAGACTCAGAACAACAATTTGTGAATCACACAAAGTGTCGTCCCATGTGGAGTTTGAACCCACAACACTCGGTGTAGTAGAAAGCGGCATGGCGACCACTTAAACCACTACGCCATCCGTGCAGTATTGGGTTTCCCATGATGATGATACTGAGGATTTAGTCGCGTCTCTCTCATAATGGCACTCTATTGAAAACTTTTGGAATTCAAAGAGTAATGAAAAGAGAGAAAGGCAATGACTGAACCGACGGAAGTTAATGATAAAAATATTTAAATGGATGCATTGGGAATCGTAATCCAAGTCCAGCAAAAAGAAAATGAATAATTAACTTCATAAATTAATGAAGAATAACAATTATATTAATCGCTAAGCTTTAAAAAATATCATACTAATGGAACTCATTATCGAAACGTGTCCCATAAATAAAGATATTGCAACTCAAGACTAAACACAGAAGCACTTGGTACTTGTATTTATGCACTCACTAAATGTTACGAGAATGAAAACAGTTCGAACGTGTTTAGACATTTCATTTCACCGTTAAAATTAACAATAAACAATTTCTGTTACCTAATTAGGTTCCAGGTTTCAACGCTTGAGTAAGCCTTTCGGTCGTTTATTACTAAAAGCTATTAATTGTAAAACCAGTTCCGAGGTTTGTGCGTAATATTATGTCTATTTCCAACACCTGGGTTGTAACGTTATTTAGAATCGGTAATGAAGATGGACCTCTTCCTGTCGCCTATAAAAGCTGAGTATACAGGCTGATACTTAACTTGTTAATTTATTGAAAGTGCCTGACCTATGACTTACCTCGAGGTTTTAAAATCTTCTCTTTTGATGATGATTACGGTATGAAACATGTGATGTTGATTTGTCATGAGAGCTATTTAGAATGTTATTTGATTTCTGAATTTAATGAATCGCAGCAGTGTAGTGCCCAACACCAACGGGAAAGGCCGTTTTACCCCTCGACAAAGTTTCTTCGTCGTGTCCAAAATTAGTCGTTCTAGTGGTTAGTGGGCCTGACTGATAAGCCAGAGACGTCATGGGTTCCATTCCTACCCAGAACAAATAATTGTGTGATGAGCACGATCATTAGTTCAGCATTTTCGTGTAATTTATCTACCTATTTAAGCATGTATTTAGAACTACATTTTTATGTTTATCAGCTATTGTATAGACTTAGCCTAGTTTGATATCAGAAAACCAAGTGTGAGATATGTCATGTTACTATTATAATACTTCTAATGGCAGTCTATAAAAAACTAGGAATCTAAGTCAAATATTATTTGACATAATATTCAACACCATGTATAGTAATCTTTGCAAGAGTTACTGAAAGCAATTACGAATGGGTAATTAAATGGTATTAATTTATATCGGTTTAGAAAGCAATCACAGCATAAAGTATTTAGTAGAAATGAATGTAGACTTATCGGTTTTGAACTGTGTATTTTACGCTATACATTCCTAGTGAATCACAAAATATAAAATATGCGTTTTAACGATACTTAGCTTTTATATCAGAAGCTATTACATACGGTGTCCTTGTGGTGACAGATTTAGATTGGGAGTGTCGCCACCCCTATCCATCCCGTAGATGTCGTAAGAGTTGACTAAGAGAGCAAACTACGCAGGACAACAGCACTACAAACTAAGATAAGGAAAAGTTGACCCAAACCCTTTTTTTTTTTTTTTTTTCTTTTTTAACGTGTGGAAATCCCCTCGGACCGTCACCCCTCCGGGGTTTGCGGCGGGGTGGTGTGTCGGACTCGGACCGACTAAAACCACACGGTGTGCCACTCTGCGCCTGTAACAGGAGGGATCCGGGAACAGCTGTTGTTAAGACATCCGGACCCCTCCTAGCGCCAGCCCGCTCCTGGTGCGGGCTCCGTCTCGATGTTTTCCTCTCTTTATAGGCGACGTCCGGCACACGCGGACGCCGCCCCCTCGCGGCTGGCCAAACTAATGCGGGTGGAGGGGAAACCCACCCCGTCCACCCGCGGCCACACTCAGGGCGGCATGAGGCTGTGGTAGGCGGGCCTCCGCCGCCCGGTTCGCCGGCGGCGGATCGGGTCCGAGTGGAGGTCGTCCTCCCGGGCCCTCTCCGCCGCCTCCTTCCGCGAGATTACTACCTCGCAGAAGGTTGCGACCGCGGTAAAACAACTGTCGCTACCGGCCATGGAGCGTACTACGGCCGGTAGCGAGAGATCCACTCCGATGACTGCAGTGAGGGCCCGGCGCTGCGCCGCCCATGCGGGGCAGACCGCCAGCGTGTGCTGGGCCGAGTCCTCACTGCAGTCGCAGTGGTGGCAGGCGGGACTCAGTTCCCTCCTAGCGACCGTGTGCAGGTACCTTCCGAAGCAACCGTGCCCGGAAAGCACCTGCGTCAGTCGGAAGGAAAGGGTCCCGTGCTGCCGCCCTGCCCACTCGGCGATGACCGGCTGGAGAGCCTCCACGGCGGCGAAGCCAGCGCGTGGAGTCTCCAGCCGGAACGACCAACGAGCCATCGTGGCTCGGCGAGCGGCTTCGCGCCACTCGCGCACATCCTCGGGCGGAGGGCGAAATCCGCTCTCCGCCCGGTAGTCAGCCACTCGCCGATAAACTTCGGCGAGCACTTCCGCCTCCAAATCCCACGGGGGAGTTCCGGCCAACGCGCATGCCACCTCCGTAGAAACGGTGCGGTAACCGCGTATGGCTCTGACCGCCATTACCCTCTGAGGGCGCCAGAGGCGTACCCTATTCTGGGCGGTCAGAGCCGCCGCCCACACCGGTGCACCGTACAGCGCCATTGACCGGACAACCCCCGTGTACAGCCGTCTTGTCGCGACGCTGGGTCCACCCATATTGGGCAAAAGTCGCCCTAGGGCAGACGCAGCGCCGACCAGCTTTGGAGCAAGCTGTCGGAAGTGCTCGTCGTAGAGCCACCTCCCGTCGAGGATCAGGCCCAGATATTTCATCTGGGCCCGAACCGGTACGAGGACCGAGTTGACCACGATTGAGGCGCCAGGGGGTGGACCACGACGGGGCCCATGAAATAACAGGGCCTCCGTCTTATCTAGGGCCACCCGTAAGCCCAGCGCCTCAATGCGCCCGACCACCAGGGAGACTCCCCCTGTGGCCAGGCGCGCCGCCTCTTGGAAGTTTGCCCCCCGGCTGTCACGAGGGTATCGTCTGCGTAACAGATTACACCCAGCCCGGGGGGGAAATCGGCGCGAAGGGCCCAGTCGTACCCTATGTTCCACAAGAGGGGTCCAAGAACAGACCCCTGTGGAACACCGCACGACAT